GCATTCATGCGTATGCACATGCAATACATACATACATACATACATACACACGTCATTCTCTCCGTCAACCTGAGCACTGTACCAAGCCGCCCCCTCCCCCCGCATCTCCCCACCGGCCGATCGGCAGATTCGTTCCCATACCCGTGTCCTACTGTCCGCGTCCGCCCCGTCTGAAAAGTCATAAAAACACTTCCCTCACTCCCACTCCCCCAGCACACACACAGGGGGCCCTGGTAGCCACCGCTGCGCTATCTTTCCTCTTGACAAAAGGGGCAAACGGGGGGGGGAGTGCACGCCCTGGGTCGAGCAGGAGGGGACTGTGGCCCCTCACACCCCTCTCCCCTTTACCCCTAAAGGAGGGAGTGCTTTGGCGGTTTTGTTCGTTGGGGCTGGGCAGCAGCCCCTGGCCAGCGTCAGGCCCGGATCGATATGTAACAGATATACGCACAAACACACACACAGACACAGACACACACACACACACAGCCACACACACGCACACACACAGCCACAGCCACACACACAGCCACAGCCACACACACACAGCCACACACACACAGCCACACACACACGCACACACACACACGCACACACACACGCACACACACACACGCACACACACAGCCACACAAACACGCACACACACACACACGCACACACACACACGCACACACACACAGCCACACACACACGCACACACACACACACACACGCACACACACACAGCCACACACACACACGCACACACACACACGCACCTGGAACAGCACCTCCCCGTGGTCGTTCAGCGCCTCAATGATGGATACTTGCTGGTTGAGGATCCGGAAGAAGTCAATGGCGCCCAGGGTGCGCAGCGTGCCGTCAACTGCGGGTTTCGGCTCGCCCTGTGTCCCCGGGCGCCGGGGGGGGGGAGAAGGGGGAAAAGAGGAACCACGAGCGAGTGAAGCTGATGCCAAGGGAAGAGAAGCATAACTGACCAGTCGGCGGTTGTGAACAATCATTCCTCGGGATGGATGATGTAGTGATGACGACAGCGGAAAACTACCTACCTACCTAGCCGCCAAGACTAAAATAAGCGCAGAAGAAAAGCAATAATGCCAAGCCGTAAAGAAGTAAAGGTAGGTGTAGAGGCGGCGGAAAGAGTAATAAAAACTGGAGAAGGGAGGGGGGAGGGGGGGGGAAAGGGGGGGGAGAATTGCGTGTATGTAAATATGTATATGTATATGTATATGTATATGTATATGTATATGTATATGTATATGTA